CAGGCTGATCACCTTGATAACCTGTTTCCCTGAAAATAAGTCCTAATGCTTATTTTGGAGCCCTCAAAAAATATAAGACTGGGTCTTATTTTGGGGGAAACACGGTACCAGTATTCGTGCCACTTTACACTGACAATCCAAGGGTGTTTTTTAATACATAATCCTGCCTTTCCACTTATGTGGGACAGGGCATTGTTATATATGGATTTCTTGTACAAGAGATCTTACCATTCCAATTTTGGAAATCAGAAAGAAGAGTTCTGTCCCCAAGAAAACAGCCTTAACTTCATTACTGCATTGTCAAAAATTTGAGAGTGGAAGTTAATGACATGTTTGATGGAAAATTCTGAATGGGGGTTTAAAACATCTGTCTTTGTTCTCTGAAATAAATATGATATGACTATAACCCTTCTATGAAAGCTGCTACAGCATAACAGTTGGTATACAAACTAGAAAGCACCAAGTTAAAAGAATTCCTTTGTCATGGATTCAGTAGGCAAGTTAAAAGAATTCCTTTGTCATGAATTCAGTCGGCAAGTTAGGGTTCCTACTCTTGGCACAAAAATAGCAAGTCCATCAACAATTAAGAGGAAAAGCCACATCAGGTGATGGTGGATCTGACACTTGGTTTACTCCCCGGATTCTGTAGAAGAAATACACCATACAAATTGATTGTCTCATGCTCTCAGGTTAGAATGTAACAAATTCAGCCATTTGCCGCATTTTCACAACTGACAAAAAATTCACTTCCCAGAGTCCATCCTCTTGAGAATGGTGGGGGAAAGAGGACAGTGGATTCTATTGGGAAATTCAAAATTTTCCCACCTCTAATGATATGAAGAATGTCTAAACTGGTTACTCTCGACCTGTAGCATATTTAGCCTGTATATTGTTCAGTACAGATCTGAGTCTCTGGAACAAGATCTGGAAGTCTGGTTATGTGAAATTGATGGCAAAACTGTTAAGCATCTTTCAGGCTCAGTTCTCCAAAAGCAATATGGGATTAGTAAAAAAAAAAAAAGGGGGTTATTCAAAGTATTACAAAGTTGAGCCTTCACTTAAGTTTTTATAAACAAAAAGAGTATTACTATCTCTTTTTTTTATTTGGATTTGCATCAGACTGATATATAGGAAGTTAAGCCAACAACTGATTATTATCACTTCAATACTATATACAGGACAATTCTCCTTTGTGGTTTTTATTTCATGAAACCTAAATGAGGATGTTTTTCCTGTACATCGTTTAAATCCCACACCTTGAAGATAAAAGTCTAGTTATCCTTTCATAGGCCTCCCTACTTTCCAATCTAGTAAGATATATCCCCCAGTTTCTGCTTATTATATTACATTTCTCTTTTAAAAACTGGACAGTACTGAATGAACATAAACTTGAATATTTTCAAAAAAAATCATGTTTACATTTGAGCAAAACAACTTCCTTCATCAGCCAGTTCTTTATGGTAACAAAATCAGGAGAATTTGTTTCCTTTTATTTGACATTCAACTTAAGACAATAATTATATATTACCAGTGTTAGGAGAAACTTATGACTTGAGGGAAAAATAAATAAAAGTCACCTAATTTATAGATTATTCCACAAATGTGTATAATTGGATATAAAAAGTGGGGTTCCATTCTTCATTCCCTCAGACAATATATTTTTTAATCCAGAAGAGGAACTCAGTAATGGAGGTAAGAAGCAGTGACCAGCAGAAATGAACCTGCCTCAATAGTTCTATTTTGACAATTTGCCTTACTTAAGCAACTAATCAAGAAAAATTGCAAATTACCATTTCTTTAGTATCCTTAATCTTCATTAGCTAGGACCTCACATTGTAGGTGAGGAACATTTTTGGCTGGGCTAACAGCCAAATTGGATGGAACCCACTTCACAGGTTTGTTGTTGTGGGGGAAAATAGGAGACGGATGATATATTGGATATGTTTACCACCCTGAGTTATTTGTAAAAATTAAGGCAAGATACAAAATAAATAAATAAACATGATGCAAAATAGAGGAATCCATACATGGGTAGCATTGGGATTTTCCATTTTTGTCTGGATTTTAAAATACTTGGCTGTTATTTTAAACATAAGCCTGTTTTAGGATGCATGGTATAATTTTTATTTGTTCTTAACCAAAATACTTCTACTTTTTGGCAATGATGGACAGGAGATTTTGAAGGCCTTAAAAAAAGTGGTGGATGCAGGCTGCAGATGGCTCAGGCATAGGAAGAAGACTTAGGGATAGTGGTAGGATCAAAGGGGAATAGGCGAAAAGTAAAAGCGAAACAAAAAGTACTTCTAAGAAACGTGTACTTTGAATATGCATGACAACATGGGAAATGTATTTCTTAAAGAGATATCATGAACTATATTAATGAAATAGTGCTGTATGTTGGGAGTAAAAGGGGAAAAAATCCAGAGAGGGTTTGGGTAGCTTCCTGCCGAGAACTAAGGAAGTCTCTCCCCACTTGGTTTTTCACGATTCAAGGTCATATAACTGGCAAAATGAAATAGATTATTGGAGTTTTACTGGATTCAAAAATTGTGAATTCAAGATTTGCTTTATAAACCTTTGACATATTATGGATATTTTATTCAGGATTTAAATAATTATTTATCTTTTATGCACACTATTTTGCCTTTTGGGAGTGAGATTTTAAAAAATCATTATAATCATGAATGGGCTCTCCCACAGTGCAGTCATTTTATAACAGCACCACAATACTTTTTCAAAATTCCAAATATGCCCTCTAACATAAAACAATTGGAACTGTCACACATGAAATTAGGAGTTAAGGCAGTTCAAATGAATAAATTTTAATCCATGCTAACACTTTCCACAAGAATCTGAACTACTAATGGTGAAAGCAAATTGGTGATAAAGAGTCAATGGAATTCAAGATGGACTGGAACTAGATTCTAAACTGATGATGTAGTTGGCTCAGCCTGGTCATCTCCTACATGAGCATCTTCATTAAAAACTCCATCATTCTCTCTCCCAATTAAATAATTAATCTTAAGGACAAAAGACGACCATTTTGTGTGATTGCTGCTCAAGAAAAGGAGTGAAAATCTAATCTACATAAAATAAAGAGAATAGTAGTGTAGAAAAATTGGCAATCACTGACTTAGTGATTTTTAATTTTGTTCTTAAAGTAGTTTACAGCAGTACAAATCCGGCAGTAGCCATTTATTAAGAGGCCAAGATAAATAAAATTCTATGTCCTTTGTCTTTAGCTAGTTTTTATGGACTATAGTTTTTTTTGAAAAATAAGAGGTAGTTCCAAAAAGTTCTATGATCAGTTCTCCTCAGTTTTTTCACTAAAATGTTCACATCATAATCTTAATAAATCCACAAGGCATAGATTTAGATTCTGAACTTTTTTCACCACTCTACGGATTCTTTAAAATGTAGTTTAGAAATCTAGTTCCTGAAGAATGATCATGAATGTCTCACATCTGAAAGGGGAGGGCATTTTTATAGATATTCTCTTTTCTCCTCCAGGAAAGAGAGAAGTTGTAATGTGTATCTGTTCCGCTATCACTTTCCTTTAGGCAGTCTTCTTGGTAAAATCTTGAGCCTTTTTGCTCTAGGATGAAGTGATACGAGACAGGCTCTGAGCTATGCAATTACTCAATTATGCCCACATTTTTGATCCTCTGTACCACTGTTCCATTATTTGAACATACCAACTATCCAACTTAAATACCACTTGTTCCCACATGGAAGTTCAGTGTACAGTAACTAGTTGAGAAAAGTTGCAGAGGATTTTAAGATAATTGGGAAAATTAGGTATATAATGGGAGAAAAATACTATTTTCAGCATACCTTACAGACTCAAGAAAGGGAATTAAAGCCAGGGAATTAAAGATGCGTGAAAACCACTTGTAACAGACTGTACAATAGGAAATTCTGAAAATGGACTTAGGATGATGATTCTTTTGGGGGGGGGGGAGTGAAGCCCCTACTTGTGATCCTGTATGCCCAATTTAATTTCAACCCAGTGTGTTTAAAAACCTTCCTCATCTGAAAGTGTGAATAGTAGCAGAAGTTATATCGTCAGGCTCCAAAAGTTTCAGGACTGAGGAGAAAGGGAGGGAGAGAGAGAGAAAGAGAAAAAAAGCCTGGAGCTTTATCAAAGTTCAGACCAACGGTTAAACCTACAGAGGTACCTGTCCTTTGCTACAGTAAAACATCAACCTAAATGGCGAAGATTTTTAGCTTGCACACCCTGTGAACGGTATGGGAGTATGAAAAGATTTCCAGGAAAAAAAAAATTGCAGACTACAGGGACCATTTGTACCAGTCAGGTGACCAGATAAAACTTCCAAGTTCCTCAAGGACTCTCTTAAAACGATACAAATCACCAGCTGTCTGCAAGGAATATAAATCCTTCCATGTCCCGGCCATCCAGTCAGAACTGAAGAAGCTTCTCGGATGAGAAGCGAAACGTCTTCAAAGACAAAAACAAGAAAGTCCAGTTGTCTCCTGGGAGTGGGGGGGAGGGGACACACTTGACTACTGAGAATCTCCATTGATTTCTAAATGGCGAAAGGCTTCCTCTCCATTCCCACGATCCTAGCTCGGCTTCGGGATGAGCGGGAAAACCTCAGTCCTAAGAGAAGAGGAGGCTCTTCCTAGGGCTGCCCAGCCGCCGCCGCTGCCGCCTTTTCCCTCACCGCTACCTCGCTTCTGCAGGCTGATTTCTACTTCCTCTCCGCGGGAGAAAAAGAAGGCTGGAGGAGAAGGTCGCGGCGGCGCTGTTACTGTCCAAAGACTCTCTCGCTCCTTCTCTCTCTCTCTCGCACTCTCTTTCCCTTCCTCTCTCCGCCCGCGCCGTCTATGTGTGTGTGTGTGTGTGTGTGAGAGAGAGAGAGAGAGAGAGAGAGAGAGAGCGGGCGGGCGCGCGCGCGCGAATGGCGCGGGGAGGGGACTAGGCGAAAGAGGCCGACGAGAGCCGCCGCTGTCGTGGTCGAGCGGGTGTTGGGTGGGGAGGGGGGGGGGGAAGGCGGCGCTACAAGCTGGCCTGGGGCTGAGCGAGCTTACGAAGTCACCGTGTCGGCACTCACCCGCGCGCCCGCCTCACTGCTGCTGCTAGGGGAAGGGAGGGGGGAGGGAAACTGCCGCCGCCACCACCATCTCTTTACCCGGAAAGGCCCTCTCCGCTCTGCTACCGCCACCATCGCCAACCTTCGTCTCCTCCTCCTCCGCCAACCGGAACCGAGTCTCCTCCCTCGGCACACACACACACACACACGCGGGCGCGCGCGCTCCCCAGCCCCGGCGAGCCCTCCCGAGCCGTGCACACAACCAAGAGGGGCGACTTGGGGAGGGGGGGGTGGGAAAGCCCAGGCTAGGCCAAGACGGGCCGGGCCGGGCCGAAGCTGCAGAGCGGGCGCCGAGCAGTCGAGAGCGGGGGGTGGGTGGGAGGGGGGAACTGGAGCCCGGGACGGGCCTGGGCTGGGCCGGGACAGGCCGCTGCCGCCGTCTTCTCCTCTGAACTAGGATGTCCCGACATGAAGGTGAGTGCGAAGCCGGAGCAAGCCGGGCCCTGGGCGATACGAGCCGGGAAGCGGTGGGGTGGTGGGGGAGGGAAGGGAGGAAGGAAGGAAAGAGGAGCGAGGCAGAGGTGGCTCATCATGGCGCCGCCGACGCTGCACTAGGAGTGGTGATGGGAGTAGTAAGTCGGGCAGGGACGAAGCCGGCGATCGAGCCCGTCCGAGAGGGCGAACCGGAGCGGCAGAAGGGCGGGCCGGTCCCGCTTTGCATTGTCATGGGGCCTATGGCCGTTACGATTCCCTCTTCCGACCCGATCCACGGGTGGCCTGAGGTGCGGCCTAAAAACCGAGCCAAGGCGGTTCTGGGAGCCTCGGGGCCGGGCCTGGCCCTGGCCCCACCCTTGGTGTGTGTGTGGTGGTGGGGAAATAGTTATTGGGCGAAAGTTTCCCCTGTTTCCGGGACGATCTCTGCGTTTAGGGTGGACGTCCTTGTGGGAGGGAAGGGGCTCGGGATCGGCCGAGAGCCGGATGGATGGCAGTGACTGGGCGGGAGGGCGGGAATAGGAATGAGTAAGGAAGGATGGACTTTCGGGGCGGCTCGCATCTCGGGCAGAGTTGAGGGTTTGTTCTGCGGCACATGGGAATGACGTGCCTCCATTTGAAGGGTTAACGGCGTGAAAAAAAAGTTGCGGAATGAAATTGGGAGGTTATGGGGTTTATGGTCCCCTCGGAGTAGGACGCACGGAGGGAAGAACTTTTCCTGGGTAAACGCGGGTCTGAAGGACAGAGGTTGGGAAAGGGGGGGGGGGTGAGGGCTGTCGTTGTGTTTGCTGGAGAGGGATGGGCAACCGGGAATCCACCGTAGCCGGTTAAAAGCTGTTGATCGGGCGAAGGAGACGAGCTAAGGGGGCAGAACGACTTGCGGCACACGGCCGCTGGAAAATGCATATCGGGGAGGGAGGTTAACGGTCGGCGATCACAGGCCGGAAAAGTGGGGGGTGTACCCTGGGTACTTAAAAGTATATTTGGAGATAGTTGGGTTAAGGTGCCTGCACCGGAAAATGTGAGATTGGAAAAGGAAGTTGATATTGAACTTGGATAAAGTTCATATATTTCAGGGAATGCACCCTTTCTTGAATTCAAGAAAAAGTATTGTACCGGTGCCAGAGAAAAGTGGAAGATAACTTCAAATGGAGCAAAATACACCAGAGACAAATCAAATGGCATATTTACCTATCGATGGATGGACATGTGGGGCATATGTTATTGGCTGAGAAAGTGTTGGGTTTTTAAATGATTTTCAGCAAACTTAAAATGTCTTTTGTTCAATAATGAGTAAAATTGTCACTATTTAGATACGTCTCTCATCAGGCATGCTTGTGTCTTGTGGTACTTTATAGGTATTTGCAAGTATTTTTTTTTAAAAAAAATAAGAATGGTTTCTTGAGAAAATCTTTTTGTTGACAGAATATAGTAGGATCTCTTGCTTTGCTTACAAAAGTGATAATTCAGTTTTCTCTGCCTTTGCATTCTTGAAATAAGAAGAATTTGGAAAAGAATATCCTTGAGAAGAAGAAAGAGAATTACATGCAGGACCGATGAATCATTATTCTCCTATTTTGAAGATGTCAATAATCAGGAGTTACTTGTTTAAACAACTTTTGTCCAGCTAGTATCAGGGAAAACAAACTACAGGTTTCATTATCAGTGGGCCTGAAATATTGTTATGGAAATACATGACAGGTATTTGGGGTACCCTGTAATGAAGAACTATGACAAACAGCACTTTTATGTTTAAAGGTAATTGAAGAAATTAACTATGTATTTGAACAAAGATTTTCAATCTTTGCTCTTGGTTATTGTCTTTTATAATTGGAATTCCATCAGTTATCAGTTGAGAATTATCAGAAAATAGTTATCCTTTATAGTTTAAACAGCTTAATAAGGGAATTCATGAAAGATAGCTCTCTCATAATTATTACCTATTATAGGCTAATGGATCTTTCAAGTTTGTAGGCAAAATGCCATTGAATAAGATTGGAGCCAAAAGATAACAGAGGATTGTTGCTCTCCTCTTAGTTTTCTTGGAACCTTTTGGCTGGTCACTGCTGGAAGTGATGCTGGACTAGTTCATTTCTTGGTTTGTTTCAGTAAAGTTGTAGACTACTGTTGTCCTTTTGAGGAATGAATGGTTTTTAAATTGTTTTTAAGGGCTGCAATCAAGTAGTATGAAGATTTAAAGCATGCTAGCAGAATAAAGCACTATTATAGCTATGTTGATTAAAATTATAAAGGAGAGATGCCAAGTACTTGTGAGATTTGTATGTGTCCTGTTGATACCAATTCTTCATCTGAGTGCTTTCTTTATAAATAGCAATAATAGTGATTTTTCTTTTTTTTAAAACTCGATCTCAGGGAGATTGTAAGCGTACAGTAAAATGAAAAAAATATTTGAAATTACTTTAGTTTTACAGCCGAAATCCTATGATTATTAACGGAGAGGTGCAAAGTCAGTGTTCAAGAGACTGCAGTCTGAAAGTTAGTGCATTCAATAGATTTTAGTGATGAAGAAAAAGTTATTCTGAACAATTTGTATTGCTGTTTTGTTAGGTTTCCTGTGTAATTTTTTTGACTGAATTCATAAGAGAAACAATATTGAATACATGATGCTAACGTAGTTTTGCTGCTACTTTCAGTATATTTAACAATAGTAGACAATCAGCACAATTCTCTTAGAAACACTGATTTCCTTAAGTAGATGTCTGGTCCTTATGGGTTGGAAAGGTATCATTAGCAAGCAAGTAATAATCTCTCTTTAAAAATTGATTGTTTTGTTGTTTGGCAATTAACATAGGGAATTGGAGTCAGAGAACTAACAGTAGATGATCTTAGAGGCCACAAGCTATCAGGGCCACCTTGTTCATTATTTACAAGCAGCAAGGCATTTGAATTGTATATTAGAATAGGCCTTGATATTTTTTTAGGAAGCCAATTTATTGCTGGTAGAGTTAATAATGTTGCACTAGTATAATAACCCGTTTTTTATACTGGCTCCTTATCTAGATACAGCCATGTTGCTACAACTAGCTTTATTTATTCTTTTCTCAGGAAAACTGATAAATGTGCCTCACCTTTATTGGCAACTCTCTTTTTGTATTTGGTCAATAGTTCTATTATTGAGCTAAGATCTGATGAACTCCTTTAGGTTTTACTAAGTTCTTGTGTTGACAGTTGTTTTCACTATGAACAATTCTCTATCTCCCATTTGAATATTAATCTTCAGTGATGGAAGTTTGATCTAAGAATAGCTTTTGCATATCTGAATTCTACACTTTAGCTCTTTAGTGTTTAGCTCAAAGTTTTCAAAACATTACTTGTATAATACCGACTCAGAGATAAGCAAGTTAAAAATATAGTACACTTACAGAGATTACTCTGGGGTGGACAGATACTGACATGTAAATAAAGCTGAATGTGATACTGCTTTTTTTATATTGCTCCAGTTATTGTATGCATTTATGTCCTGCTTCAGTATTCGCTATACATCCTGAATACATCCTTACATGACCAGTTAACGTCCATCTAATTCAGCAATTTGTTTTGAACAGCACCTAATGTGATGATCTTGGGGAATTCATAAACAGTGTGGTGGACGTGTGTCTTTTACAGTACTCAAAGGCTTATTATCTTGAATTACAAAATTCCATTTTTAATTCTCTGATTTAATAATCACTGAAAGACACTTGTTCCTTGTTCCTTCTAGTAAGCCTGTTTTTAATGTCATTAACCTTTCAAGTACCATATCTTGAACCAATAATTTTCTTTTGCTCAGATAACTTTGAATTATTCTACATTAAAAGAGTACAGCTTAAGCCCATTAGGAATTGTGCATAAGGGCATACTTCTGTTATCATCTGGTCCTAATAAGCACTTGATGGCTACAGTACTGAATATAGTAAACCATAATGTGGTTTGGTTTAGAAGTTTGTACCTAGTATTGTGATTTGTTAAACCATGGTTTAGTATATTTTCTGAACCCAGGCACTTGTTACTTAATAAACAATTGAACAAGTGACTTATTTTTGTGAATATAAGAGTGCTGTTTCAAATAATAGGAAATTTATGTTACTAACATACTTATTGTATATTTAGACTATTGCTGTCTGATAATGTGTTAAATCAAGAGCTTGCAATGTATCACAGAATGAAGAGAAAATGAAGAATTTACATAATTTATGGTTTATTACAGGGGCATAATGAAATATAGGAAGTAAATATTATACCAAAGTTTTCACAGAAGATTGGTTTTAGGGAGGAAGAATTTGAAAGGAGAAACTTTAAACAATGTTGTGGAAAGCATAAGTAGTAGCATAAATCAATGTAGAAAACTGGTGCTGGGATAATAGTTATTGAAAAACCTAAGGGACAGAAATACATAAGTATATAAGAATTTTATATCCTTGTATGAATTACAACTACATAGACAAAGTTATAGATAACTTTGAAGATATACTTACATTAATTCCAGTGTGAAGAAAAACATCTAGATTTAAAGGACATTTGCGTTCCCAAATGCTTCTGTTCTGCAATTCTCTTCTTCCAGTTGGTTGAGGATTGTATCTCAGCGAAGAAAGGAAATATGCCAGATAATGAATTGATTGTTTATTTGTTAAAACACCAAACCTAGAAAGTATGGGTCTATATAATTAATTCGGAGTTGACCTCGTGTTCAGGAGACTTTTACTGGCATGTTAGTTTGAATTAGGGAACAAATAGGAAAATTGTGTGCTGTATATATACCAAGATTACCAACTAGCAATCTGGCACACCAGTTTTTTCAAATGATTAAATCTGTAGCCAAAAAACAATTCACATACAAGACATTGTCCCAACCTGGAAATAACTAGCATGTGAATAATCAACTCCATTTTCTTTCAAAAGTTCTATCTGTGAGTCAGCTAAAGTTGGTAAAAGATATGCAATTGACAATCTTTCTTTCCCAAAGAAAGTAATGAACCTGAAAT